TATTGAGGGGACACCCCTATTAAGGGGACACTATTTTTGGTCCCGAAAGTGTCCCCTTAATAGGGGTTCTACTGTTCTCGAAAAGCTGCATCACGCCGACTATATTCTTTTTAATTAAAAATGTTATAGCTGATAGGTCTTGAGTTCAGCGTTATCAAATTTTATGTGATATATTTGTGATATGGGCATGATGACGTCATATCGGTTTTCGGGTTCGCAATGAGTTACAGTAAAACTTTGCTTAGCTGCCACTGACCAACATGTGGTATATTGTAGACCTACCTATATTGCAAATCATGTTACTTTTAATTTTAGTGCGAACTAAAACCTCTTATGGGGAGAATACAAGATAGGCCTATTTCCTTATACTAATTAACATTACTGCTGTTTCATCTCATCTTAGTGTTTTCTAAGTATTCTTACGTTTGAAAAATTATATGAAACTGCTTTCAAAACCATGCATTTTATCTTCGAGTGAAGCGAGCGCACCCTCTAGTAATGATAATAATAATAGGCCTAATAATAATAGGCCTAATAATAATAATAATAATAGGCCTAAAATTAATAATAATAATAATAATAATAATAATAATAATAATAATTTATTCAGTTATTTATTTATATAAAAAAGTATTACAATAAGACAAATATTCAATTATAATAAACTGAAACAAGACGCCTTTTCATATAAACACTTTCGGAAAATTTTGATGACGCCCTCACATGGCTATCACACATCAAATATAAGACAATAAAGCAGGGAACAGTGAAATTTCACTATAAATTAATAAAATAAGATATCCAACCAATACTAAAAAAAAGTTAAACAAGATATCTTACTTACAGTCGTTATTTACATAAACACTAAGAATAATGAGTGTGCCCTCACATAATGGCAGCCTCATATATAAACTTATTCGATTATCAATTGCATTATTATCTGTGCCGAAAGTTATCAAACCATAACACATAATTCCATATTTATATAGTGTATTTACAAACGTTATTCCTCTTATCGATTATTATTGCAGTGTCTGGAATCGAAAAGAAATTATGTAATTTTAAATATAGGCCTACCCCTCAATCTTCAATTAATACTTAAAAGGTTCCAACAGAAATTGTCTTGATTTTTAAGCTCTTACAAAAGAAAATAACCCGAATGTCTTTGTAATCGCCGCTTCAGAATTATAAATAAGTTGATTGATGTGAACGCCCAGGATAACTCACGAAAGTCCAAAAAAAGTATTTATATTGGGGTCCTTCTGGTGTGGTGCTTGTGATTGGGTAGTATTTTTATTAACTTTCTAATTGGATGTAAATCTGTTGTTGATTGACTTTATTTTTGTAATTTTTAGTGATATAATTATTAAATATTTAAAAAATAATACCTTATATTACTTGGTATTAAGATATTTTATATACTGCATTTTTTATTTTTTTACTGTATTTAAATTCACTTGCACTCTGTTTTCAGGTAGTTAATTATCAATTCTTGTGCAATGAATTAATTATTTTTAATAATTAATTAATAATGTTTAATGTTCAATAATTATGAATTTTGTAAAATAATTCATTTTCTCAATTTTTTCGTCTGTGCAATATTTTTTTTTTATTGTATAGTTAGGTCTTTCTAGTGTATAGAATGATTTTTTAATTATAAAGTTAATGCAATTTAGCTATTTCTGCCAATGAAATATCGAATAAAGTTGAAATTGAATTATGAAAGATGGCCTCTACAAAAGACACTATCAGAAAGCCTAAAATTAATAATTAATATTATTAATGTTAATTGCATAATACCGGTATGTAATATAGCATTTGTCATTATACATAAATTACCTATGTTAACTTCTAGGCTCAGCGGCAATGATATCTGCACGCATTAAATCTATAGAATTATGTAATGCGAGATAATCCTTAATTGCCATACTCTTCATATTTTATTCTTTCATCTAGGCATACTAACGTTTAAAGTGTCTCTAATAGGATTGTTTTTAACTTGGTTCTCTAACGACATGACTCCTTAACCTATCAAAAGAGAAGGATTAAAGACTAGATCCCTTTCAGCTGGGATTTATGGTGTTCCAAATCTTAAACTATAAATTTCGAATAAGCCGGATACATTGCGTCATAAGTCGGTAGTATAAGACTTTCGGAGACGAATCTATCTTAGCTCACTACGAGCACTTAACGACTGAACCCTATTTTCATTACAGAACTTCATTTTTCCTAAATTCTCATCATTTTAAATCCACTGTCGTATTCGAATAAAAAATGTGATATCTTATAGACTAGCAATAAGACTACAATTGTTTTACCAAAATTCCAAAACATTACAAGGTCATTGTATTCGACGTATTCCATTTATCCCAGCATCATTAGGGGAAAAAAGTTATACAAAGAGAAAAACTAAGTTACCAGAAAGCCTAATTAAATGTATGTATTTTAATGAGGTAATTATCCAAACAGAAAAAAAATGTACGATATGAGAAAATATAATACTGTATTGAGAATAAATAATTCTGAAACGAAGAGTGACAACTACTAGTTATCAATGTAAGGAATATTTTAAAAAAAATGTACATAAGAAATTGTAAAGTTCGGCAATGTAGAGCCTTTTACACAACAACACATGTAATAAAAACCTTGAAATACGCCCTTGAAACGTCAAAAACGCCGAAGCATGAGTATGCCTCTTACCCTCACTGGGATCTCTATCCGACCCATCTCCTAGGGTAGTAGTGCCCGGGCCCGATGCCTTGGGGATTATACCTCTTTGTTTGCCCTGAACGAAACTAATATTTTCGTTCAGTGGCTAACAAAGAGGCATAGTCCCCATCTCATATTATGACACAATGTTATAGCTTACATTTTCGCCAGGTTTATCGATGGATACCAAGTCACCGTCTATTTCTAGACAGCTGGTCCTTGCCTCTTCCCAATTCTTAGGTTCTGCACTAAATAAGTAGCATTCGTCGTTCCACTTCTTCCAGCCAGATGGACACTCTAGTCCAGAAACTCCAAAAAAGACAAGTGAATGATTTGTTTAGATATGCGTAGGGGGGGGGGGGGGACGGGAGAGTTGGGGGTGATTGGAAGTGAAAACGCCCGCTGGTCATGGTAAAAAGAGTGAACCACAATAACACAAAAGAACTGTTTGAAGGGGAACATTTTAGTCTAAATCTCTGCCTACATTGTCAAATTTTCTTTGAGAAAAACTGTTGTATGCCCATACAGTTATGGTGTGCCTATTATGGTCATGGTGTGATGTCATCATGACCATATTTCGACATGTCGCATGTTTCTGTCAAATAAAATTTAAACAATCTGGACAGGGATTAGTGCATTGTACAAAATAAAAAAAAAAAATCAGTCAATTTTTGTCCTGTCCTTCCATTTTGTTTCCTTCGCCTCAATAAAATAAGATGATAGAATGATCACGAGTTTTGGAGTAATGGACACTATAATAACCCTGTGAATTCAATTGATGTTTCATACAGATGATTTACGATATTTAATCATCTCATAAATACATATAACCATCCATAAGCCTAGTGTTCAGATATAAAATAATTATGGCTGTCAAACATGAAATAAAATTTTGCTAGTGCAGATTTATTCTTTGGTTTATGTCATCATTTTTTGTTAAAATGTACATCATAGAGACCACGTATAATATTATGCGTTTTGTCAGTCCACATCCATCACCATTGCATGTGCAAAACTGAATCAATCTTTAAATTTAATTATCTTGAAGTAGTAGACAGTATCCAGGATTCCCTAGGTCTATAGGTGGTTTACACTAGGTCTACATAGTTGTACGCATGTTACATTACTTACCAATGCTTACGCCTAGAATGGAAATCAGCACAGCAATATATTGTAGCCCTGCCATACTTGGACCCAAATGTTGAAGTTGCACCGAGAGCAACGTAGCACCAGAATCACAATTATTAAGAGATAATAGTTGATTATCGATAACTTGTGCACATACAGGTCATATTTTACTATTATATCAAAATATCGGGACCTATTTAACCCTGAAGCCTATCAAGAGTATCTGTATTCAAACAGAAACTTCGAACTTATTTATATTTTGCTTCCAATTGCTAAATGCTGCGCGCGTTCTTAAGTGCAGTTGAAAAGCCACACAGACAGGTTTACCTGGTATATTTTCTTCTTTTTTTTATGCTGGGGGATGGTAGTGGTAGGTATAATATGGTTACTGGAGGAAACCTTAGTACATTATTGGTGTAGCGTTTATTGAACCAGAGAGGCACGTATTCGACATATACACTCATATAAATTAACGTAAAAGCTTGGTGGGAAGTGGACAATAACATTTTGTGTCCCATTTGGCTGGGTGGCATCAATAGGGGTGGGAGGACCCTCTTGTCAGGGAGAGCTAGCCCCACCACAATTCGTCGGGATGAAAAAGTATATATATATATTAGTACTCTCGATAAAAATATGCCCTTGAAACTTCTAAAATTGTCAGTTTCCATGGGTTCGCCCTATGAACCACTTCTGAGAAATGCCCAACCATGCTCACGTATGCTCTCGTCCGGAACATCGGGACCCCGTCGGGCAAATCCTCTGGACAATATAAATACATAGTTTAAAATAAAATATTGATGATCTCACACTCTAATTACTCTCTCAACAACACCCACACCCCCTCCCCACACACTAGTGTATAATCTATGATTACTTTTAAAAGAAAAGAAACAGTAAGACATACAGGTTTATTGCTAATTTATTGTTCCACTAAATGTCAGAAATACAGAAATAATGACACTTAATAACATTAGCATAAAATTACAAATTCCATTAATTTTAGAAAAATAATTTTGCAATAACTGCAGTTCGAATACAAAAATATCCAACTAAACTTTATTACTACAAGGTACCGTCTAAATATTAATAATTTGTTGCTCTTGCTAGTGAAATATGAGGGAAAGTTGGAATGCATACACAATTGAGTTAAAAAGTTGGTGTTTTAAATATTTTCAGCAACAAGTAATTCGCTAAATACAGAATAGAATGATGCTTTGTGTCTATGTGATTGGAATACAAGCACATTAAGCACTAAAATATTCAACTCAATTCCAAAACATACTTTCATTTGCATTCAGCTACAGCTATGATACTTTGACCATTTTATTTATTTATTAGAATTTTATTATATATTTTAACCTTTCCCTTATATGGTCACATCAATTGTAGGAGTACAGGATAAATGAAATACATAAATAAATAAAACCAAATGCTACAATATTCATAATTTAAACATTTTAACATAAATGACATGTTTGAATTCAATAAGCACACTTCAGTTGAAAATTCTAATTGAATATTACTATAAATTTCTATAGTTTCCAACAGAGGTGGCGCCAGCAGGTGGGGCAGATGCACCCTGGCTCAGCCGTCGGGGAAGCCTGGGCCCAGCTATTCGGAAAATAATTAGCATACTCTAGCTTTCTAAGCCACAGTAAGCAGGTTTGATAGTGACATTTTGTTGGCATCTAGATGGCTGAGGTGGGTGTTGCTGTTCTGTTGGGGAAGGGGGATCCCTGTTACAGAAGTTCTGATGCCACTGTAATTGCAAATGATATACTGTATAAATATTATTCACCTGAGGAGAGTAGGAACAAAACGATATCAACTCAGAAAGAAATGTCACTGTATAAATACCGTGATAAGAGATTGCATAGTATAATGTAGAGAATATAACATATTTTTAAGATTGAGTTTATATACTGTATACAAATGCATATTTAACATTTTTACACATTTCTTATAAAAAATATACTGTAAATCCGAAAAATATACAATATTTAAGCATTATGAGTACTTTTTTTATTAGTAGTGTGTTACCTGAAGCAAACACTCTGGGTAGAAAAATTATTATATATATTATAGTTCAGCTTTTCAATAATTGATAATTTCACATTACCTCTGATCTTCATGAAATAGCGCTATATAAATCTTGTAATGTAAAAATATAAATAGCAAAATTATGCAATAAAGCAATTATACAAAATGAATCATTATGGTGAAACATTATGTATACAGGTCTCCCTTTACACTAAAAGTGAAAGCAGGTTGGCGAAGTGAAAATGGTTTGGTTTCCAAACCTCATAGTCAGGGTTTCAATCCTTCGCTACGCATTTCGCTTGTGTCCTTAAGCAAGACACTTTATTTACATTGCTTCAGTCTACCCAGCTGTATCAAGTGTTACCAGCAAATTACTGGGAGTAACCTGCGGTGGACCAGTGTCCCACTCAGAAGGAGCATCGCGCTCTTATTCATTTCACGTTACTTCAAACTAGGGATAAGCGCCAGCCCATCAGCCCCACGGCTCGGCAAAAATTCACCTTTCTTACCCTTACTAAATACCTGTCCAATTAAAAAACACTTCCAATTAAAGACTAGTTTCTCTGGTCCCAAATTAACAAATGCCTTTATCTTTATTATTCTACTTAGAGGTTAAAGCTGCTAAGACCATGGAAATCCCATCCCAAAATTGGTGAGAGACCTGTATTGAGCAAGTATTAAGTTTATGCTAAAAAATATATAATCAATCTACCTGTACAGTTATATCATTTTTGAGTATATTTGACTAAAATTTGCCATATTTATAATTACAGAAGATAAAAACATTAAGGAATGCTGTCCTGGGTAACAAGGTGTTCTGGTTTTAACTGGATGATTTGTGAGAGAATGATGGCACGTTTACTGGCTGATATGATGACAATTAATCTCTCAAATGACTTATTGAATGTGCAGCTACAGAGGGCGGTATAGCAACACATTTTTCAAAGAGCTGAGAGTGCAAGACACAGCTGACCAAGGTAATGGGGCACAGAGAAAAACAACTCCATATGGTCGAGTTTATCCTCTAAGAAAATATCAACGGCTAAGGCGAAATTAGACAATATCACAAAAAGCACACCAAACACGCTTAAAACTTTTCCACCTAGAGGACGTTCAGCAGAATGTGGAGTATAGTAAATGCGAGCAAGACTTCTCCAGAGCATTAGACACAGAATTGCTGAATAGGATGCCACCATATACCTCAATGCTCCAACAAGTCCGGGGGAAAGGTAGGCATACATCGCCAGTCCTAGCGGTACAACTATCGTACCGATGTTGAACGCTATAGGACGGAAACCAAATCCAACAATAGACGCTGTGTGCGAGTGAGCGTATGAGAAAAGCGCATGTACTAGATATTCCTCGGGTTTTGCCAAACAGCCATCGCCTGAAAGCGAGAAGATGAATGCGAAAAATGTAGCACGGTTGTATCGTGTGTCTTTTAGCGGTGTAAACTTGACAAGAATACAAAGATACACCATCGGGATAGCTTTAAATGGCACTTTCAACGATGTCGATTGGGGGTGAAGATAATCAAAATACAAAACATATAGCCAACAGTATATCAAATATGGAATTGCCTTTTTCAGTCGGTGATCCATTTCTAAAAAAAAAAAGAATTATTAAAATAAAGATTTAATTTATGTGTTCTCAAATAATTAATCCTTCATTGCTATTTAAATGCATCATTTGGCTCAAGCAGGGCAGTGCACAATGCATTAAAACAAATACAGTATTCACCAAATTCCGTGCATACTGTATGTAGCAGAAAGAGGGATTTAGCGATGATTGTTTACAGGTGGTCACGTGACCTAACTTGGGTATAGATGAAAAACATAACATAGGAAAAGATAATGTTATGGTTGCAAAAACCACCAACCACTGTTAACGTGACAAGTACTGTAAAGGGCTAGGATTGGCAATACGATTTTTTATTGTGTTTATTTACTTATCTTAGCGTTCTCCTTGGATTGTATGCTTTGAAATTTAAGTGATCCTTCATGAACCTTACAGTAGCTGGCCTTAACATCGCAGCGTATAATGCATACTTAACCATGCTGTAGATGTGCAGGGACCTAGGCCTAACATTTGTCGAAAAATCTCAATGTTTGCAGCCAGTATCCTTTGCAGCATTAGCAAAACATTAAGGCAAAATTCTTAGTTAAATTTCCAATCAATTTGGTATAGTTACAGTAGTATAGTATACTGGGAATTATGATGATATTTACAGCAATAAACAAGGGACGGCCGTGATAGCAATCTCCATGTAAAACACCGCTGTGTCAGTGGATTGTTTGTATCCAACACCCAAGTTCTAAGGTCATGTGACGCCCACCGCTAAATCCCTCTATTGGTTCTTCATTAGTCTAGGCTATAGCAGGTATACAACTTACTGTATGTATGCACAAAGTTACCTACATTTTATTTTAGCAGACTGTAAACAAATTTGAGTTTGATTTTGATGCATCCTCTGCACACATGAATTGTACAACACCCTTACACTGATATAAATTATTTAAAGATCTCCGTACTGTAGTCTATAAATGATTTTTTTCAAAGCAGATACAGTACCGACAAAATATTTGAAGAGAGAGAAGCCCAAGGACTCTCTGAAGGGGTTTCTGTAGTACTGATGCTGGAGCTGCTACTACCGTTTGTAGTAGTAGGAACCATACTGTAAAGTATTTTAATCGCGCAGATGATACTTCAAAATCTAGAGAAAATATGCATAGAATATCAGTAGGAAAATAGGCAGAATCGTAACTACCCTTGTACTGTTTTGATTACATAAAAGGCAAATAGAAAAAAAATATATTAGATTATTACTCCTGCCTGCGTAAAAAAATCGGGAAATATTGATGCAGCAATTAAAAAAAAAACCTTTTGCAGCATTAATTATTTTAACAGCATAATATAAAAACAATGCAATTTTGTGACTACAAATACATTTTCTTTAAAAAACTATAAAATTAAACCAGATTTTATACAATATTACTATTACTATCCAAATATAAACAGTTCCCCCCTCATCGATAAAAACAAAAGCGAGA